CCCCCCCCCCCCCCCCCCGCATACTTACAATAGCGAAATAGCTTACAAACCCCTAACATTTGCTGGCGATCAGTTACAGTACTAACTTCAGTCTTGCTTATATTTGTGCGATATTGATAACCAGTTCTCTTAAATGAATTAAGATGTAACTAATGCCCCATTCACTTTTTTTTTCCAATTTGTCGATTACGCTTTGCAGTTATTTTGAGACGACAAATTTTAAACCACTTTGCCAACAGATTTCAGTCAAACAGGTTTTTACCTTGTTTAGTTGCGGGGCGTGCACAGTATGAGCAACTAATTTTTAACCTTGTGCAGTTAAACTACTTTTAAACATGTTTAACTGATGTTGGTGTGAACGGGGTATTAGTTGAGTCTCATGAGAAATATATTACTAGATAGAATCAAGTCTACTCCCTGAACTCTCCTTTTCTCACCATATAGAGAGATTCCGTGTGTTGTTGAAGTGCGCGCCAGAATTTAAATTGCTCGTTCAAATAATAATTTACAAATTTACAGATAATTTACATACAGTATATATGACTCCACAACTCCATCTTGATTTCCCTGTCAATAAAAACACTGTCAGTAATTAAAAGACAAATTGTGCTCTTTACTATGAGTTTTATACTCTTCGATGGGAAAATATGTCCGGTATAAGAAAACATTACGGCATCTTCTACAGTCTGTGCCATGCCAGTATCTAATTTGAGTCCAGTTCCAACCCTTTTTCTGTCACGGAACGCTACGCTCCCGAGCCGACTAAGCTTTGAGTGAGAGAGGAAAGACCTGGGGCCCGTTTCTCGAAGATCCCGAAATGTTTTCGCACCCGGAAAGCCGTAGCAAAATCTCAAACCTTATGATTACAGACTTGTTTTACTCACGTATTCTTAATATGAATAGAGGTTTTCAAAAAGTTCCAGGTGTTCCAGGTGTTCCTCCCCCCTCTTTAGATACAGATGGATTTGCGGGCCCGGAAAGTTTCCGGAGCTTTCGAGAAACGGGTCCCTGAACTGGAGTGATATCTCATCTTGTAGGAAAAAGGTCGAGAGAAAAAGTCTGTTCTCGTTTTTCCTTCGCCTATCGCTTTTCGTTGTTTGCCGCTTGGATTTGTCTGGACTCACATTGGTTGATCTCTGAAGAGTTGTCGTTTTTTATGAGGTCTATGGGTTCGAAGCCCTGAGACCAGCCTGGAAGTTTATTTTAAGAAAAAGACCTGTTTTTCGTACGGGAAATGGAAATGGTCGAAAAACCAAAAAAGAAAAGAAAAGAAAAAGAACAACCGAATAAAATTGCACGTGGGTCAAGGGAAGACTGAGCCCACAGTGTAATTGACTAGCAGACGTAGTCCGCATTTCATGCGCCCCCGTTTCGCCCCCGTTCGGTTTAGCATGCCAGGCGCCAGGCGTTGATTCCTACACACAAATTTACATATCAAAACGGAAAGTTAAGTGAATTTCAAGCGATTACGTCTCTCACGGGCGGTTTCGAATGCCCGTATCGGTGCTAGTTGAAGTTTGATTCGAGAGATACTTTCCCTGGACGACAAACAAACGCTGAAATCCATTCTTCTCTGGGCAACATGATCTGTAAAGGAAGTGACGTCTGCGAGGGTGGACTCTCCCAACGACCGTTTGAGTGATATTTTAGTGTGAAGTTGCGTGTTTGTCATCCTTGAGAAATCGGTGAAATTTGAGAACGCCTTATGACAAAACTGTGCACGAAAGCGACGTGTCTTTTTGTACGATTTTCTCCATGTTGATTGCGTACAAACAGCGTTTGAGTGGGAACGATAAATGGAACACCATACTCCTACTTCAAGTGTGAATGGCGACTGTTATTATGATGGCGAATCGAGTTACCAAGATACAGATGTCTGCGACTATGATCAGAATATTTTGCCAGAATTGCTGGATTCACAAATAGACAGTACACTACAAGGTCTGGATATGGGCGCCATTAAAAAGAACTGTTACGAAAGAACCCGCGCTGCCATGGCGGTAAGCACGAATTACACTGAAATAGAAAGTTGCAATTTAATTTATGGACGTTTTATGGTTGACTTGCAGTTGGGAGTTTAGTCTGAGTCTATTAGTATTATTTATTTATCAGTTTCCTAGTTTCTCCGAGAGAAAACAGCTGTGGTGAAAGTAATAATGTGGTTTGCCGTTCTTGCAAAAAGTCGAGTCAGTGTTTTATATGATTCTTAGCTTAATTTCCGATCCGCTGTCGAGCACGCGCTTAACGGGCTAAGAAAAGCACTCGAGTCAAAGATTTAGTTAGCGTGCTTGGCAAATTGGAAAATGTCAGTTATAGAAAGCTGTTCGCAGGAAACATCGGCCTGGTCAGTATTTAACTTGTTTAGTGTTCTTGAAAGAGAGGGTGTCACTGTATTTACTTCAACTTTTTTGCATGCGAGCATAAAATGAGTGGAGTGGCATTTGTGCATTTTGTAAAACAAATATACCTCCTCGGTTGTCAACCTATCACAGGTTTATTGCGGTTGAGTATGCCGTTTTGAAAGCAGGTATTAAGCCATCAAAGTGCGAACTCTCTTCTTTGTTTGAACTTGTTATTTGCTTAACAATTTAATTATTTCTTTTTGACCTGCGTGAAGTTAAGTTCACTTTAGAAAACATTGTAATATTGACATGTGTTCCTTTATGGAATATGTTTCTTCTCATTAGAGGCAGTTTAAAGGGTCTAAAACTTAACATCTGCATCTTGGGGTGACAATTTTCTACATACTGTCAAAATGTAATTTGCTATAGAAATTAATGTGAAATGTTTCCATAGCAAAGGAGAAGATAATCACTCCCAGAAGAGATTTTAAGAGAAGGAAATTAAGCTTGGCCATGCCAAGAGACTGGCAGTTGGCCAAATTGTTCCATAGGCAAGTGACATGGTTTTCTCAGTGATATAATTCAATTTCAAGATGCTAACAAAGTTCCTGGTAAGGCAGATTTTAAAGGACTTTCATTTTCACAAACACTGCAAAAATTAGAGAAATGGTTTGAAAGTGCACAGCAATATGTCCAAAATTATACTATAAATAACATTTTGGGGATAATTATTTAGTAGGACTTAACATCTGTCTGGGAGGTCACCCTGTTGTCAACAGAGTATGGCCTTTCAAGGATATAACAAACTTTATATTTACCAGCACTGTGCACCTGATCTCATGATCAACAAACAATATTATATTGGTTGCTGATCATGTCTCCCATTCATGGGCTGTCCTGCTAGACACCCTTGAAATTGTGGTTTTGAGCTGCTTTGGTCGTGATTATGACATCTCCTTTTGCCAGTTTAGTCTGAAATAATTTGGCATTGTTTCTGAGTAAATGATGAGAGTAAATTTAACATATTTATCACTATTTTTGACACTTAACTTAAAAAAAGCAAAAACCGAAAGTAACTAAAAAACATCATTCAAACAAGTCAGGGTACCCCAGAATGTTTGTCTCAAGTATTGTTTGATTCTGACAGGCCTTTTCTGAGGGACAAGTATGTACATTATTTTCTGCTTGCTACAAATGCTAAAATAATTTCAAGAAGAAGAACAAAGTTTTGAGTTTACATGTTTACATGTTTTGACAGAAGTGTCTGTCATCATTTGTTAGGTCAGTTCAGCTCAGCTATAGTGTATAACTTGTAATGTTGTTGATTTCTGTGAAATCCTTCCCAAGAAATATCCAGACTCAGTCTCTATACAATGAATTACATGCTATATAAATAAAATGAGTTCTGTATTCTGTTGTAATCATAATTGGTTAAAAAGTTGTGTTTCNTAAAAAAAGCAAAAACCGAAAGTAACTAAAAAACATCATTCAAACAAGTCAGGGTACCCCAGAATGTTTGTCTCAAGTATTGTTTGATTCTGACAGGCCTTTTCTGAGGGACAAGTATGTGCATTATTTTCTGCTTGCTACAAATGCTAAAATAATTTCAAGAAGAAGAACAAAGTTTTTAGTTTACATGTTTACATGTTTTGACAGAAGTGTCTGTCATCATTTGTTAGCTCAGTTCAGTTCAGCTACAGTGTATAACTTGTAATGTTGTTGGTTTCTGTGAAATCCTTCCCAAGACATATCCAGACTCAGTCTCTATGCAGTGAATTACATGCTATGTAAATAAAATTAGTTCTGTATTCTGTTGTAATCGTAATTGGTTAAAAAGTTGTGTTTCATGAGATTACATGTACATAACATTGGTACAATCTCATGTGACCGTCACGTATAGTGTTATTTTCACACAGTAATTTGTCAACTGATGTCAGTTCACAAACTGAAGTCCTTTTCGTAACACAGGAAGAAAATTGGAAGTCTGTTTGCTGAGGCTAGCCGACTGTTAATATTCATCTCTGTTGGTTTCTAATTCTCATTTTTTCTTCACAGGCAATAAATCCTATGTTGGCTAAGAGAGTATTACCTTTGGTATGCATTGTGCTTTTTTTCTGATAATAGTGTTTTATATTAGTTAGCACAAATTGGTTGTAATCTGGGAAAAACCTGAATATTGCAGAAGACTTGTTAATAGATTTGTTCATAAACTGTTCACGCAGAATAAGATGTGCTCTGTCATAATCAATGTATAAAGTGAATAGAAAAACACCTTATCGAGACTTTCATTTGGAACAATGTACACCATAAGCCTTGAACACCTTACAAACATTGTCTGTGTTCATTTACTCGCAGTATTATTTTTACTCAATTATATTAGATTAATGTGTGCCTTCTTGTGATTTTTCCTTTGGTAATGCAACAAATAAATATAGCCAAGTGAATTGTCAAAGGAGGAAGCAGCAGCGATTTGTATCCAGGCCCACTTCCGAGGATACCTAGCAAGAAAGTTGTTTGTACAACTTCTGTATCAGAAGTTTATCAAGGTAAGTTAAAACTTCACTTAAGTGATCAGGAAAAATCTTTGATCTCAACTGATAAAAGATGCCCTTGTTAAATGGTAATTGTGCAAAACAGTAATTGCACAGTTATTATATTAAAAAACAAGCATGGATAACTAATCTTGCTCAGGTAACAGCTGGGTTCTTCAGACTAAGAATATTTTCACTTGAGGTTTTTAATTCAGGGGAAACAAATAGCAGGTATATACATGTAGTGGACAAGTAGCTGTTAGGTACTGTTCATGCCTTTGTAACAAACCGTCTGTACTTTGCAGGCATGCCACACAAACATTAGACTAAAACAAAATTTTAGAATTGACGTGGCATAGTTAACAATGTCAACAACTGGCATATTGTCACATATAATCCAGGGTCTGATTTACTCATTTGAGTGCCTAACTGTTCAAATTGTCAGTATGTTTTTATTCAAAAGAAAAAATCTTAAGAGTTTTGTACTACACGTTTATTTATGATAGTCAGTTCATTCGTTCCTTCCTTCGTTCCTTCTGATTGAGATATTATACCTTCCACCTGTTTTCTTGACAATTTGCATAGATTGCAAGGGAGTTGTATCATAACTGAAGGGTTCATTGATAACCTGAGTGTGCATAATGTCGTGCTCAACTTTTGTGAAGTAGGTTTATAAAACAAAGCTGACAATTTGTCTCAGACAAATTATCTTGTGTCTATATTCAGATACCCTGCAGTAGTTATTAATTATACTTGCAAGTAATTCCAGGATCAGATCATGAAATCTAAACCTTTTAAAAGCATTAGTGGAAATTTGATAGATATCTTAAGGAGTCAGTGATATGGGCAAGTTTTCATAAATATATACATGTATGATCAAAATATTTTTGGTTATTTGATACATAACTGCAGCTTTGGTACCAACGATTTTCTTGTGAAACCTTTGGAGTTTAATACATGTTATTGACTGTATAACTGGATTTCTTGTTGTGCGGTGTTTGATTGATTGATTGATTTATGATGTTTTAACAACAGGAAGAAGAAGAAAGAGAAGCAAGAACAAGAGAACAAGTGGAGGAAGGAGAATTACTGGTAGAAAAGTAAGCATAAAATAGTAGATTCGTTATTAAGAAAATTAAGAAGTTCTCTTTGAAAAAGGTGCCATGAAATTGTAAGGCAAAAATTGTGATCTAAAATCAGTTGTAAGGTGAATGAGATGGAAAAGGTGTTTGTTCACATGACAAGTGTTTGTGTGTGTCTTGTAGCTGCATTCAGTCCATTATAGATTTGTTCCATTTGAAGGATTTGAATTAGAAATGTTTTCATGTTTACCATGCATGTATGTGGGTGGTAGCCATCATGCGATTAGAATTTTAAAAGCAGTTTGAAGCTTATGGTGCATGAAACAGGCTGAATTGTAAGATACCTATAGCACATTTCTGGTATTTAAAGCTGCTGTAAGTTATATTCATGTTCTAAATACATTTAATGATTAGATGAGTAACACCTAAGATATTTTTTCTTACTATATATGGTGAATCTTTTTCACTTTATAATTTGCCAATTTGCATAATCCTTGGTGGGCTCATTCAGATTTGTTTACTATATTAATCATGTGGTTACAAAAGCCACACGTAGTCAGGTTTAAAAAGATACACAACCTACTGTATGGTCGTCAATTTTGTAATGTTGATGGAGAGGTAGACAAAATATCTGGAGGGATAGTGTTATTATTTATTTTACACCAATATTCGTTTCGACTGTGTTTTGGCAATTATTGTATATTTTTAGGGAATTTGCTTTCTATGTTTTCTACCCAATAATATTTTCATCTGTGGCTCATGTTATTCTTGGAAAGTGAAAATGTATGAAATTTGATATTTAGAGAGATAACCTGCCTTTATTTGGCAGTAATATTTCAGGTTTCATTTTGGAAACTGGCTGCTAATAATCCATATTTTTCACTTGGTTTAAAAATGACTGATTTGATTTAAAAGCTGATTTTAATTTCACTTCTGATTTGTGGATGAAGTACATTGAGTCATGTACTATTAAAAATTGAAAGAAAGACGACATCTTAAATAGTTGAAGTAAATTTCAGGCATGCCTGTCTGAGATGTAACCAGAATTAATCTTAAATAGCTGCTATTGATCAATGTTGAAAGACTCCTTATAATATCAGAAAATGTCAGGAAAAAGGTTAGGAAGAATGAAGAAAAAAAATAAAATAAAAATGTATTCAAGAGATTTTTGTTGATGTGACAACACATTGTTAGAACAGTTGTATTTTAAGAAACATGACATTGAATAAGGAAAATGAAAGGGTCAAAATTTAGCTTGTACAATTTGCATTTCAGACATGGCTGTAGTTGTTGTCAAAGTAATAACACACTTGGTTTACACCAGGTCAAGACAAGCTAATAATTCAGTTGCCATTTACATGTAGTTCATTTTATTCTTTTTCTAACAGCTATCGCTTAAACCTTGAAATGGAAGAGAATACATGTTTACGTAAAAACGTTAGAAGAGGAATTGAATGTGATGTTATAACGTGAGTTTGACTCAATGATTGAATAGTTCAGTGTACTTTATTTCAAATGTTTATTCAAGAGTATTATTCTATGGGAGATGTGCATGTAATTTTGACTTAGTGTTATGACTGTTTGCTCTCTCTTTGTTTGTAAGTTTTTTTCATTTTTGAATGTACGTGGAAATGTTCAATGCTGCTTTTGTGGTTTAAAAATAAGAACTGTCCTTTTTGAACTCTTATATCTTTATATGGACAGTTATTTAGATACATTTTGTTGGGGCAACCTGTGAAAAAGCTATTAGAAGGAGTTAAAGTATGATGAAGGGTTAGTCATCCAGGGGCCTGGGAATATTTAGAACTACACTGTACACATTTATCATTCTGTTACCAGTAAATACTTGTCTTAAGACAGAACACTTGTACTGTGTCATATTTCTGACAATACACTCTCTTTTCAGGCCCATTTTTGTCAGTAGCTAGGTGTTATTGTTAATTAAGGAGTTACTTTGCCCAAACAAGAACCAGAATTGTATTTTGACTGGCATTAACTATTTGGTCAATTGATTTCTCCACCTCAGCAAATTCCAAACTCGATGGATAAATTTTCCATGCTAATTAACATACTACATTACTTCGTTACTTTTAGTGTTTAACCTTAAAATTTGGTGGACAAGGAAGTCGTTACGTGTATCTGTAACAATGCATGTATGGATACAGGATGTAAAGATTCATTTATTTCTCATCAGTACTGTTTTGTATTTAGCATTCAAAGAGCCTGGCGCCAACACAAGAAACAATCTGTTGGACAGAGAGGAACAAGTTCATATAACATGTCAAATTTTGACGTGGATTTACAACAAAATTACTCTACCTCAGATAGTGGCAGCTTTCATATAAGGACCAATCCTTTTATGGGAAGTAATGAGAGTGCCTCTTACTGTGATGATGACAATCTTTCTGATGTTTTTAATGACAGCCTTGAGCAAGTATCAGAGGAGAATTTTAGAAATACTCAAGAGCATGGACCACATAGACACCTTTATGATAGTGATCAAGTTATTGAGGGTGACACTTTTAACGATGAACTTCCTGGCATAGATTCCGTTAGCTCACCTGCAGAGTTGCCATCACCAACTACTGATTGGGAGTCAATAGAATCATGTCTTACTTCAGAGGGTGAAACACAAGATCTAGAAAGCAGCGAGCTTGTGGACACTGCAAATGAAAGGTTAAAACACTTCTCTTTAAAACCCAAAGATTTGCAAATTTGTTTTGTTGATGATACTTTGCTTAGCGATGTTGAAGGAGATGAAGATGGTTGCGATATAAAAGAGTATATTATTGATAAGCAAGATGTTTCTGATGATGAGAAACGAGACTCAGGTTGTGTTGCGGGTGATGAGGAAATGTCTGAGTCTTTTAGTATTAAAACAGTTAGACCAGAAACTCTAGGAAATCATGAAATTTCTCAGGAGGAAACCAAGAAAGTTCTGTTAGAACTGAGTCAACAGGACAGCGAAGAGGAGGAGAAACAGGAGAGTTATTCAACTGTAATGCTAGGCTGGACAGAAGAGAGGTTACAAGAACTGACTATAGATGAACTCAAAGCACTCCAGAAGAACATGGCACAGTTAATTGAAGGTAAGATACTTAATGTAGAACACCAAGGAACAGAAAATTAAAGTGTGTCGATACAGAGCATTTTTGATTTATACATGGCAAAATGATCATTGCACGCAACTGTCATAATAAATCATTTTATTGATTGAGCTTCTTATTGATGCCCCATTGGATGTCTATTAAAATTTGGAAAAGGATGGGTCAAATATTGTGCTTAACCAAATGAGAGGTAGAGGTAGAGTGTTTTGTTTTTACTAATAAATTGCTTCATCACAATTGAAGAACATGTAATAATAATTGGAGCATACTCGTTTGTAAAAGAACTTGTCAAAAGATTGTAAGAGTAATATTGAAAAAGTATCCTGGGCTTCTAAATGAACATGTGAAAATGTATGTTTGTGTCTTGAATTCTTCACAGCTCAAAATGAAGTGCTGGTCACAGAGTTAATGAACAGAGATAGTCTCCATCTTAAACAAGATTCCCTTCTCATGGACGTTGAGGATGCATCAAAGTAAGCCATTCCTGCATGTTTAATATTTATGTCTTGATTTTTGAAAACCTTTTCAATTTCAAAACCGCAACAAGCCTGCAACTTTTCCATTAAATCAGGCTTTTCAATTTGGCAAACTGTTTGAGTGTGTGGCTCGCTAACTACTGCTACCTTACTGTACACATTGCAGTCAGCTACAATAGGCCTCCATGGAAAGGAAATGAGCATTTTTTTAAAGTCCAAAAGGTCACTCTTTGGACCCACCCCACCCTATGAGGTTAAGATCATTCAGGCTTTACTTGGCAACCTGCTTATAACCAGGGCCCTGTCCACTATGCTGGAACCTCCTTTGCATTAACCCCCTGCATTTAAAAGTGCTAGGAGAGCCTGTATCTCCCAATGTTGGCAGGAGTCAGGGAAAAAAAATTGCACCACTTTTGACTACAAGTCAATGTACATGTTATGGTTCTGAATGTACATGTATTTTATGTCCCTTGGCGCAAAGCTGTGTAGCACTGTTACAACAATACTAAAATATTGTGCTTCATACCAGAAATGACATTAAATAATTTATAATTAATAAATCAAAAGCTGTCATCCTGCTATTGTTTTTTTCAGTAAAGCTTACACTTAAAGGAAAAATTAATACTTGTAGTATTACTGTGGCTCCTTTTTTTGTTTGTTTGTTTGTTTCTTTAAACTTAACACTACAATACTCCTGTCATCTCATTTGTTTTCAAAGCTTTTTCTGTTTTGTTATTTATGTTTAATACTTGCGATCCTCTTTTCAGTCCAAACTGATGAACATGTACGCTTGTACATGTATCTTGTTGAAGCTACATCAAGACACAACTGACTCTAACTATGACGGCTAAAGATCAGTTTTATGAATGATGTAATAATAAGAAATTATTGCTTTGCTTTATTATTGGGGAAGAAATCAATCAGCTTTACATAAAATACTAGTCTTAACAAGGTGTCCAGAAGGTTAGAATTATGGAAAAATGATAAAAGAAAGAATATTTTTGATGTTGTTTTCATTGATTGTCACAATGGTGGCACCTAACTTTTTAATGTTGATCTTTAATTATCTTTTCAGTTGTATTCATATATCTCCTAATAGGCCATATTCATATTCCCCGTATTAGACTGGAACTAGCTTGCAAAAGCGCCTAATGTGGGGAGTCATTTCAAATGCAAATGATGTTTATCTCTTTTGAATGATATTCCCCTGGGCCCACATGAGCCTCCCTTGCAAGTTAGTTTCAGTCCAATAATGAGAATACAGATATGGTCTACTGAGTGATTTTCATCATTTTACATATTAAAATTCACGCACATAATGTTCAGTTTGTTCACATAGCTTTATTAACTTAAAACAGTAAAAGCTCAGATAAAAATATGTCAATCTGTTTAAAATTTGCCTTGTTGTTTCTTAAAGTAGGCTCCTAACTTATTCTCAAGACATAATCACTTAATGCCAGGTTGCCATGTAAGGTTCCTAACTGTATAACATCTTTCACTCTTTAAAAGGTTTGTTTTATTGCTTTTAGGAGATGCGTCATTAATAGATTACTTAATAAAGTTAATTACTAAATAGTGCTCTAATAATGTCTTCCGCTCAAGTTCTTAAATTGTTAATTTTGTGACAATGAATGGGTCTGAAGTTTTGGCTCAAACCAGAGCTCTCAATGTGATTTAAATTTTTTGATGCACATTTCAAAGTGTTCACTTTCGTGTTACAAAACTTTACCTGTCATGAGTAATTTTATGTGAATTGGAGAATAAGCAACTTAAGTTACTGGGAAAATGTCTTATAAAGCTGTCTAAATAAACAATGTGCAGAAGTTGTTTCTTTTGATTTTTTGTGTGTGTGATTATATTCTCACCTGTTGTTTTAACATCACTTGCACCAGAAAACTGAATCGTCGTCGACAAGGCAGGGCTTACTGAATCTGTCAGCTTTGGAGTCCAGCTGTTGTCTGCAGTATCCTGCAGTAGCTCAGATTCCATATGAACAAGATCAATTGGGTTTTATAAATATTTGTATTGTTTCATTGTTTTGTTGTTTATTTTGCACAGACTTGCACAAGCACAATATCAGAAGACACAGAAAGGCAGAAAGAGATAGTCACCACTGCACTTGTATTTGCACACAAAAATATTATTTTTGTTAAATTGTATTTTGTTTTACTTTAAAGCAGTTAGATCAGAGATTGGTTTCAATCATAGTTAGAGTGCAAAATGATTGTATTTGTTGTTGAGTCCAAGTGAAGAAAAATGTCTTCCATGTTGTTATTCTTCTATATCAAACGTTTTTAGGCAGAGTTACATGTATTTTCCATAGACGATTTGGATGTCAATTTTCCAGAAGGACATTTTTGTTTTGGAAATCTTTTAGTCTTTTGACAAAATTGAAGTCCATTTTTGTTAGGTTGGGCAAGTTTTCCTGTTGCTCTGATTTGCTTTTGTTTAGAGCAATGTTGAATTCAGGTACAATCAATTTGCACCCTTTTAATTAATGTTACCAATGGATTTGAAAATAATTTTATTTTTCTATGTGAAAGTTAGAGAGATTTAGGTTCTACGTTTGCACATAATAAATAAATAAATACATTAATAATACTTATAGTAATAAGACTAAAATAAATCATTGAAGCCATTTTTACTTCACCTGTGTTTGAAACAAGGTTAGGCTGTTCGTTGGCTGTTACAGGAAACGAAGACAGGAACATTTCTTAACTCTTTTTGTTGATATTGAACCTCATTATTCATAGATTCAGTAAACAGCGAATTTCATGTGTTGTGACTCCACTAGTTCACTTTCCCTCCTTGCTTGTCCCAGATTTTTTCACTATTTTTGGCAGCAAAATATTATTATTAATTCGTTGGCAACCATGAGGGTTCGTAGGAGGTTTCTTGGTTTCATTTTCAGCTACAGGTCGGTAATAATGGTTACAATTCTGAAGTATTATTTCTATTTAGTTGGTATCTATGATGTGAAAAGATGCCTGAGATTGTATTGGTTCATGAGATATAGTTGATTAGTATTTTAGGATAACGGAACTTGTGATTCAAATAGTTTAGGGCACTTTGTTATGTACACAGCTACAAGAATATTAGATTAGAGCGCTGTTTACAAATGAAAGCTGGAACATGCGATCAGCTTTAACCTAAAGTGAAGAAATTTGGTAAATTTGCAGTCACTTTGAAATGAAATGATATTGATAAAATTTGAAAAGCGTTTTTCCAGGGACGAAATCATTAACAGCAGAAGATAACCAAGGGAACTTACATAAATTTCAAACGTGAATCTGTTACAGTATGAATCTTTAACATGTACAATATTATGCGCAAAGGCTTGCAACAGGGAAACAATTAACGTTTTCCTTTGTCTTTAGACAATTTGTATAATTATAGTAGTAGTCTACTCTACTATGATGTAATGATTGATATTCACGTGCGTTACCTTAGGGATCAGTGCTGTCAGTCATTATGACGTCCTTGTTGATTGCATCTGCTCTCTAAAAATAGATTTTGAAAGTTCGACCTTGATCTGACTTCCCTTGCTTATCCTCTCAAATTTTGTCTTCTGAGCCTATTAGACAAGGGTTATGCCTTTTATGTGCAAAGAGCTTATTTCTCAATCAAAAACAAATTACTGCTAAGATTGTGTTAGTGGTTTAACGGCAGAATGTTAGCATGTTTAAACTTTTTATACTCGCTTTTTTGCCCCGTTACGGTGACGGCGGTCACGTGATTGGATGTGTTCAGTGAAATGTAAGTGGCAAAGTTGTCGAGTTCCCCAGTCTGTTTATCATACTGATTTTCTAGTACCCTTTCCCACCTCCACTAGAGAGGAGCGGTCAAACATTTGATGATGCAAGCTACCACTTTAGCGGAGGCGGCGTGGCCCAGTGGTAAGGGCGCTGGATTTGTAATCCGGAGGTTCTGATTTCAAATCATCCTCCCTGCCACTAGGTGGATTTGTGTTTGTTGGTCCCAGATTCAACTCCTCCACGCTTGATAAATAGCCAACTGGTCAGCCTCCTGCCAGTTGGAATTTTTAACAAGTTTCTGTCCAATTTACAATATTTGTTTGCTAATTTCAGTGTCCACAATTAGTACAGCCTTGCTAAAAACCTTCGACATTGAAATAAAGTGATTTATTTTATTTTATTTTTGAGACTGACATCAAACGCTTAGTGAGAAATTGGACAAATGACCAACAGTCAACACCGCTGACCGGCCAACTTCAAACAGCGAGTAACTTCATGTGCCCTTTCCAAAAGTTCACGCCAAAAGAGAGAGTTGACTGTATATCTATCGTTAGTTATATCAGCAGGCCTTACTGCGAACAACGTTCAGTTTGCTAGTACTGGAGCTTATTTTTGTATTGTAATTTAATTGGAATTACTCTTGCTTCAAGTAACATGCTATCGTTCAAAAGATAAAGTGATATTAGTTAGCGTCAAGTGTACATATGAAGAAAAATTGAAACTAGATGTAGCAATAAAATTATAGAAGCGTGATAATACTGTGTGCTGTCTTCATTGTGTCTTTAAATGCAAAATCGTTGCACCTACGTACAGTAACCTATACATAAAGTTACTCTGTTCCCAATGATATATCAATGAATGCTGCATAGATATTACAACTACACGAGGTGTACCCAAATTTTCGAAACTTTTCCCGTGTATTTCCCATACCATTCGATTTTCCTCCAAGATTTTCCTGAATTTTGGTTGAAAGTGTCGCATTTCGGACATGAAACATCTTATGAATTTACTGGAACCAGGTTATTTCCAGACTATTAGCTGACTAACCTATATTTTAGAATTTGAGTTCTCTACGTAATAATCAGACTTGCCTCATTATATTTTTATTTCATCAGATCTTTTTACAGATCTTACCTATACCAGCAGCATCTTCGTTTGCGGGCCCTTTGATCATTTATACTTAATTATTTTTTTGACTGTTCATTTTTAACTTGGGTTGGCCATGTATTTTCTGCGGGACAGTTTTCGTCTGTCCACGATCTACTTATCGCGACAACGACATGATATTCTGAATTTTGCGTATTGTTGACGGCCACGCGTTTGCATTTGACATTGACCAATCCGCAAACATGAATTTGAGTTTCATCTGAGGTCATTACTGTGATTTAGTAGACAATTGGTCCACTGAGGAAGGGCTAACTAGGGCTAGGCCCAAAACGTCTGCTATAAACATTGAGTTTAATTTGGCACTGAATTATTATTATTTACAACTTTTGAACTGGTCCACAAGCCGGTTGCTCTACTCTTTGCCGCTACACCATGGTGTCGAGACCCAACAAGGTCGAAAGAGCTCTCCAGTGGTTGCAATTCTTGCCTTTCAGTTTGGACTCTATTATGTCCTTGTCGCGCTAAGTTGTCTATGTAGTAATCAGCCTTGCTTCATTGTTATTTCCATTTTTGGCTGATCAGATCTTTTTACAGATCCTACGTATACCAGCGGCATTTTCGTTTGCGGTCCCTTGCATCATTTTATAAAAAAGAAATTGCCCAGTGTAACATGTACCGGGGGAGGCAAAGGTAGGGTGCCAATCACGCATCACGCTGAATTTTTCTATTAAATCACGCATCACGGAGAATCTTTTTCATCAATCACGCGTCACGTAAAAAGAAGTAAGTACATCGCCATTTTTACTTTCTCGACCCTAAGAGCGTCGTTAAAAGAAGAATTTTGCCGATTCAACCACAAATATGCATCGGCAAATATGTGACCTCTCACGCGAAAACGTTCCTTACGGTATCCATTCGAACGGCTGAACGCACGGCTAGTGACCTAGCCTGCGAACAGGCTCCCAGTGAGGGCGCAAAAAAAAATCCGACGGGGGCCGAAAAAAAAAATCCGGCGAGCGAGGCGAGCCGTTAAGCGCGAAAAAAAGAATTCCTCCAATTGCGCTCCCCCTCGTCACCAATCCGCTCTCGGCTTTCCCCGCTTGCCCTAGACCACACTTGGCTAGCTCGCACTAAACCCATTAACCCAACCGGGAGCCTGCTCGCAGGCTACAAGTGAACGGATAATTTAAATAACGATAGTCAATATACTTGTTCCAAGATATCTGATAACCACTGAATATAATGAGTAATGACTCTAGAAACGATTTAATGTGAGGGATTCATGAGATCTGGGCTGTGAAAGTAATGTTGAGAATTAATACGATGAAAGCTGTGTAGGTATATGTGGGGGATAAATGAGATGTAGGCTGTGTAGGTAGATGTAGGGGATTAATGAGATGTATTGCTGTGCAGCTAGGTATATGTCGGGGATTAATGAAATGTATTGCTGTGTAAGTATGTGGGGGATTTAATGAGATGTGGCCTGTGTAGGTATATGTAGGGGATTTCTGAGCGGTAGGCTGTGTAGGTATCTGTAGAGGGCGTTAATGAGATGTAGGCTGTGTAGGTATATTTAGGGGATTAATGAGATGTAGGCTGTGTAGGTAGATGTAGGGCATTAGGGTTAGGGTTTAGGGTTAGGCTGTGTAGGTATCTGTAGAGGGCGTTAATGAGATGTAGGCTGTGTAGGTGTATGTCGCGCCGTGGGTATGGGCTGTGAGGGGATATTGGGGGGATATTCAAGGGGGTGGTTGATGATATGTCCAGGAGGTATTTTTTTCAAGAGAGATTAAGAGAGATGTGTATATTGCGGTGGAGTTAGCTAGCCGCCCAACCATCCGGGTGGTGTCGCACTTATAAAGCGAAAGAACAAAAGGCTTGGCTGTGGGCCAATGAGAAATCATTGACGTCATAGCCAAACTGGACAAACGAGTTTCTGACACCGGCTGGATTTGATTATTCAAAATGGCGGACATACCTTAATTTAAGGTTATAATATGCTAATTTCCAAACATTCCTAAAATGCACGCTTATGTTCTGTAACGGCTTCGTAATTAATGCTACACATACAGTTACATATTAAAAAACGCTTTCAACTTGTATATCTTGAGTTACAGTACCCAGATTAACCCTTCACTGATGACGTTCGTTAAAGGTTCTCTGTGCCATCTACTATTACAAGTGGCACCGAAAGGGTAGTTCAAATTCAAGGACGTTACTCAGTGATGACGATGGCCTTTAAGTGTTCAAAGCCTCAAGCTACACTGAAGAAGAAGATGCAAACGATTGCCGCGTAGTAATGGGGAAGATGAAAAGGTATTGCATCGGCGAAGTAACGTAAGCGAGATTGTTTCAGCAGGAGGGAAAAACGTCCTACCGAAACGCTCGACAACTTAATCGCTGAATTAAAAAGAACCTTGGCAAAGAGTTGCAATTTATGTGGTTTTTACGGTTTTTACACGATACTCTCATCTACGTTCGACTGGTCTTGGGATAAAACATGAGCAAAGTACAAAGCAGCCACTTAGGATGACAGACCCCACGTTAAACAAGTGTATCAACCTTCCAGCATCCGAGATGCAAATATAGGAATCTTAACAATGACGACGGCAATGCCGAGGACAAGGCCTTGTAAAACTGAATTTGTCCAGGATGCCTATGGTCCTAAAACATCCTTCATGCTAAATATGTAATGACAGCGTTCAATTCTATATGGAAATACGAAAAATTAGCAGTTCGCTCGACTCATCGTTCGCGTTCGCGGTCATTTTGCGTTGTTGTTGTTGTTGTTGTTTTTTTGAGCAGAGGACGGCTATGAAATTTACAAAGGTTTACTGAACACACTTGTATAGCCTTTGTTTTGCTCATTAAACCTTTTGTTTGGTGGTGCTCATTAAAGTCGTGGTTTGCGATAGATTTCGATCCGTCCACACTACGCCGGAGGAATTTAAAAACGCATACAGCTTTATTTCTACGGTTAAGCCTACGTCCTGGTGGGTACTCCCTTATATGGGCTAAATAGGTATTTGGGGCCCCAAAGGGTATGGGTTTTCAGCCGTTTTGGTCATAAATAGGGTATCGATTTTGGCATTTTGGTTTTAAATTGGGTATGCTTTTAGCACTCTACTCTTGAATTGGGTACATTTCTTAGAAGAAGCTACTTTTTCATCATTATCAATAAGACCACCAACAAAAGCCAGTTACAAAGGTCATATTAAATAGGGATTTTTGGCGAGGTCATAAATAGGGTAGTATAGACCGCAGATTTTGGTCATAAATAGGGTAAGGGGTTTGGTAAGTGGGCCGCACACCCCTACCCAATTTTCTGGGATAACCCCTCCTCGAGGCCTACGGTCCAGAGTAACCCGTCACGAAAACGGAGCTTTTCGAAAACATTGTTTGGGAAACTCACAAATTAACTCGATACCAGAGTAAAGAGTTTTCTTACATAACTTTACTTCATAGAACAAGCGCAAAAGCTTACGCGTACAACAAGCGCGAGCATTCATTCAGAGTAAGGGTGGAACTTTTTAAGGGAACTTTTTTTAAACAGGATTCCGTATTTATAGAACAATTTGCCCGATGAATTGAGGACTGCCACTAGTGTTTCTTCTTTTAAGAGATCATGTACTATTTCTTATACAGATAAGGTTTTCGACCCTGAGCGCCCCTATACCACCTGGGCTAACATCAGCAGTTAGTTAGTAAGGATGTTACTAGCCAGTTAGTTAGTTAGATTGCTATTTAGCTAGTTAGTTAGGTAGTTAGTAGATAGTTGATAAATTGCTTGTTAAATGATTAAGCTTTTATATATTCATGATCATGCATTTTATTTTCATAATGGGTTGACTAGCACGTGTGGTTCGTAAGTTCCCTTCTCATGGCTTCCTCGCTGCCTTGTTATGTACTAAGATTTCTTTCATTAATGTGGTTATTACAATTATTATTATTATT